TGACAACATATCATGATATGTATGCCACTACACTGTACATACCGTACAAATTAACTTAAGTCGACTTAATGGTCAAACTCAGGCCAAACTGGCACACACTGTCAAAGATTAACCCAAGTTCCAGAGGATGAAGCAGCCTCTGGTTACTCCCCCCTGAATAAGAATTTCATAGGCAATTCCCTCCCTCCCTCCTCTTCCCACTCCACTGCTTTTTTCATTGACATTTTGTCCAGGTGTCCCATCAATTCAATGGTACCTTGGGTGGAGAGCCAAGATCAAAATTCAGTGAATCTTCACAGCACTAAAACCAAGAGGGCTCCATCTGGCATCTATGTTAACCACTCGGCCACAAAATCTCCACCCAAACTTACAATAGAGCAAAACTGTAACTTTTAAATTAATACCTTTGTTTTGCTTTGCAATAACTCCTTGAGTAGATTCTCGCACAGTTAACTCCTTTTGTAGTGCGTCTTTGTAATGTCTGGACTCAGTAGCCAATTTTTTCAAGTTGTCCTCTGCATCTGCTCTCTCCAACTCAAGTTTGCGAATTTTTTCCTGCAGTCCCTTTAGAGCTGACACCACAGCTAAACAAACAGATAATGAGTAACGACAATTTAAGTGCATATACATAAGGCTAAAAGAATAATGTAAAACCTCATGAGATGGCAATCATCAAAGAAATTAAAAGATTACATTTTCCTTGTCACATTACTACATTTGAAGCAAAGACAAGTAATTTACTGTTGTTTGCTTATGAAATGTTGCATTATTTATTTATCAATCAAATGATTATTGAGGATGGGAAAAGTAGTTATGCGAACTTTCCCACACAAAGTCCAACAGAGTTGACATTATTTTATCAAGCTGTGAAAATGTTTTCAACAAGTAAGGGAAACCAGGAGGTCCCTACAAAAAGAATATCAGTCTTTGAAGATCCCTCTGCATTTCAAATAAGTGATGACAAATCATTAAACTTTTGATACCCAGTTATAGAACATTTTTTCATGACGTGTTTACACTTAAGTGCAAACAGTGGTAATGCAACAATCTCTGCTGGGTGCATTTTCTATGTTCTGGATGTCTGAGTGCAACATTATTCATCATCACTCATGGTCTTTATGACAGTTACATGTATGTTCAAAAATTATGAAGCTGAACTGATATCTAAGCAATTTGCCCAAGGTCAGAAGGCTTTTCTGTACCGACTCATATTAGCTTAATGAGACAAAATTCACCTCTACTGTTAGTTTGAGGAACAGTTCCTCTTGGAGATGGTTGAAGATTGTCGTGAAATGAAGACACTGATCCACTTGCACCAGGAAAGGATGACGAAGAACGGATGCTAGCCCTGTGTGGTGAGTCTACGCCATATCGATATCCTCTGTAACCAGACAAGTATGGAGGAGTGGTCTATAAAGAAGAGAGGTACAGTTCTAAACAAATCTGACAAACAGTCAAAAGAAGAAAGGTTACTTTTTGATTACGTGTAGCAAAGTTGATATTGTGTTCAAGCAGGTATTTAGACCTATATTATGTATTTGAAACAGTCTTCCGGTTTCGCCATCATTACACGATGAAGATCGCTAAATTTTCTTCATGATTTCCCAAATTTTTCAAGGAGAGATCGGGCGTGACAAACAGACCCTGGAAACATACAAATGGTCATGGATGTATAAACCCAGACGTACAGTACAGTCCTTGTATCAAATGTTCCATTTTAAGCGTTGTTATAGTAACAGAAACGTTTTCATATCTAAAACCCGTTTAGTAACTACTATATAAGCCCTCTGAACAGAATTTTTTAGCAACGGATGTACTTAAAGTAAACAAACATTCGAAGCCAACAGCCAAGGTCTTGAAGACGCTGATCGGTTACAGAGAGATCTATATACCTACAAAATGTCTTACCGCGCCATCCCTGTGATCCATGCTTCCTCAAGAAGATAACTGCAGAGAGGAAACTTTCTCACCAAGAGGAAAGAAGCCTTTTGAAGACCAAATCTAACTCATTTTCTTTGTCACTCGACTAAACGCTATTGTGCTTTTCTTGTGTCCGTTGTCAAAAGCGAGAAACTGCTGTGCAATTGATTGATCGTGGGCTCAAATGTCAACTTTTCACCAGGCTTGGATACCAAGTCAGTTTCCGCCATGTTGGTTGTACAGCTACAGAAAATGAAGTGAAAAAAATAAGTAAATTTTACGAACTTTCCTGTGACTGCTGGGATCTG